CTACTATACACTATACTATACACTACACTATACACTACACTATACACTAGTGCTGTACAAGTATACTACACTATACACTACACTACTATACACTATACTATACACTACACTATACACTATACTATACCTACACTACACACTATACACTACACTATACACTAGTGCTGTACTATTATACTACACTACACTATACACTACTACACACTACACTACTATATACTACACTATACACTACACTATACACTACTATACACTACACTATACACTACTATATACACTACACACTACACTATACACTACTCTATACACTAGCACTGTACTATTATACTACACTACACACTACACTACTATACACTACACTACTATACACTACACTATACACTACACTATACACTACACTACACACTACACACTACTATACACTACACTATACACTACACTACACACTACTATACACTACACACTACTATACACTACACTATACACTACTACACACTGCACTACACACTACACTACACACTACACTTAAATCAGTGAAACCTGAACCAGCCCCCCCCCCGACTAAGTGGTCCCCAACACGCGGCGGCGGCGGCGAGCGGCGTGGTCACGTGGTCACGTGGGGACCAACAGCCGCGCACTGAACCCACCACGCCCAGTCGCTCTCCTCGACGAGCCCGCGGCGAAAGGGCGCCTGCGGCCTACTGCGCTGGCCGCCTCGAGGCGCGCCTCTCCCGGCAGCCCCGCTAGGCGAGCCCGAGGCTTCGGCCCAAGAGCAGGCCGACATCGCCGGGGCAGTCTGTGAGAGAGGCACGCGAGACGCTGGTGATGATGACGACGACAGTGACACGTTGTTTGTTGTTGTCATTCAAACGTCGTGAAGGAGGAAATAGAGAAACGTCGACACCACGGGGCCCGGATCTCCCCCACTCACACACAGTGCGCTAACAACTGCACCACCACTCCCCACACACACACACGGTGCGCTAACCACTGCACCACCACTCACTCACATACAGTGCGCTAACCACTGGACCACCACTCCCCACTCACACCACGCGACAGCCGAAGTCACGTGCAGAGAAAAATCGATTCAAGGTCAAATAATAAACTCGGATCGATTCCTATTGGGATAACAAGTGAATCGATTGTGGTCAAAAATGGAGCCGATGGAATCGATCCCTAGTGGGACTGCATTGGAATTGACAGTGGTGGTGAGTGCAAGATGGAATCGAATACATTTTCGATTACGTGGGAATCGATTATGGTGATTTGTTCTAATGAAATGGATTCACATTAGGATAACGTAGGAATCGATGTAGCTAGTGATTAGAGCGGATAGAATCGATTCCTATTGGGATACCATGCGAATCGATTGTGATAGAAACGGTGAGCGGTTTGAATCGATTTCTATTGAGATAACATTGTAGTCTATGGGTCTCTGTGTTGTGAGTCTGTCTATGGATCAACCTTCATCATCACCACCCAATATCACCCCCCCCACTACCCCCCCCCCACGCACCCATTTTTATTATTTTATTATTTACCTTCTACGTGACTTTACCGAAAGAACCAAGAAGAAGAAAATAAATCTATATATATAAAATCGCAAATCTGTCTGTGTGTGTGTCTGTGTGTGTGTCTGTGTGTCTGTGTGTGTCTGTGTGTGTGTGTCTGTGTGTCTGTGTGTGTGTCTGTGTGTGTGTGTGTCTGTGTGTGTGTCTGTGTGTGTGTGTGTCGCCGGACCATACGCAGTTTCATTGGACGAAATGTGAGGGATGTGCGAGACGCGATTGGTCCGTTTGGTTTTCCACGACGGTTGCCGCTGGCAACGGGTAGCGACGCATTCGCCGCGGGGTGGACGCCATTTTTAATTCCCGTTAAAAATATGCGCATTAACACGCGACTCTGAGGTAAATTCATCAAAGTTTCACGTCCTCTTCACTCCCCCCCCACCCCAATGTGTGCATTACTATTATAGGGTCGGTAGATAATAAAATTATAGCGATTAGACAGTATTATTGTAGCGCGGGGGGGGGGGGGGTAGCAGCCCATCTGTGTATATATGTAAGGTTATTAAGAAACATATTTTTCACCCGGCAACGCCGGGTACTTATGCTAGTAAAATATAAAAATGTAATAAAAGACAAAAAAAATAAATTAACAAATAAATAATAATGCCCCCGTTGACAGGAAGAGGGAAAAAAATCCCCTCCCCCCACAATTTGGCGCCCTTTGCACGACGCGACCCGGTGAGCAGCTCAGTTCTAGCGGCGTGAACACGCGGGGCGCATCGTGGGTGATCACCATCAACATCAACAACATCATCATCAACAACATTAACTACATCATCATCAACATCATCAACATCATCATCAACAACATCATCATCAACATCATCATCAACACCATCATCATCAACAACATCATCAACATCATCAACAACATCATCAACAACATCATCACCAACAACATCATCAACATCATCATCAACACCATCATCATCAACAACATCATCAACATCATCAACAACATCATCATCACCAACATCATCATCATCAACAACATCATCAACAACATCATCATCAACAACATCATCATCACCACCACCACCATCACTATCACCACCACCATCACCACCATCACCACCACCACCATCATCACCATCATCACCACCATCACCACCACCACCATCATCACCATCATCACCATCATCATCACCACCACCACCATCATCACCACCACCACCACCATCATCACCATCATCACCATAACCACCATCATTACCACCACAACCATCACCACCACCACCTCCACCTCAACCACCATCACCAGCATCACCACCATCACCACCATCACCGCCACCACCATCACCGCCCACCACCATCACCGCCACCACCATCACCGCCACCACCATCATCACCACCATCATCACCATCATCACCACCATCATCAACCACCACCATCATCACCACCATCACCGCCACCACCATCATCACCACCATCATCACCACCATCATCACCACCACCATCATCACCACCATCATCACCATCACCACCATCATCACCATCACCACCATCACCATCACCACCATCACCACCATCACCGCCACCACCATCACCGCCACCACCATCACCGCCACCATCATCACCACCATCATCACCACCATCATCACCACCACCATCATCACCACCATCATCACCATCACCACCATCATCACCATCACCATCACCCGCCACCACCATCATCACCACCATCATCACCACCATCATCACCACCACCATCATCACCACCATCATCACCATCACCACCATCATCACCATCACCACCATCACCATCACCACCATCACCACCATCACCGCCACCACCATCATCACCACCATCACCACCATCACCACCATCACCATCACCACCATCATCACCATCACCACCACCATCATCACCACCATCATCACCATCACCACCATCACCGCCACCACCATCACCGCCACCACCATCATCACCACCATCATCACCACCATCATCACCACCACCATCATCACCACCATCATCACCATCACCACCATCATCACCATCACCACCATCACCATCACCACCATCACCACCATCACCGCCACCACCATCACCGCCACCACCATCACCGCCACCACCATCACCGCCACCACCATCATCACCACCATCATCACCATCATCACCACCATCATCACCACCACCATCATCACCACCATCACCGCCACCACCATCATCACCACCATCATCACCACCATCATCACCACCACCATCATCACCACCATCATCACCATCACCACCATCATCACCATCACCACCATCACCATCACCACCATCATCACCATCACCACCACCATCACCACCACTCGCCTTCTCTCTGTGTCTCTCTCGCTCCGCACCTCAATCCACTCCCTCCACTCGCCCTCACACCAACAAACTCCCCCCCCCCACAAGTAGCCACGTGACTGCCCCTCCCCCCATCACGTGACTGCCCCTCCCCCCCCATCACGTAACTGCCCCTCCCCCCCATCACGTGACTGCCCCTCCCCCCCATCACGTAACTGCCCCTCCCCCCATCACGTGACTGCCCCTCCCCCCCATCACGTAACTGCCCCTCCCCCCCATCACGTGACTGCCCCTCCCCCCCATCACGTGACCCGCCCTCCGCCAATCCCCCCCCTCCAGCCCTCCACTCCCCCTCATCCATCTACCCCCCCCCATCCCTCCACCCCCCCATCCACCCCCCCATCCACCCCCCCTCCACAGGCTGAGAGTGACGCGTGGCGGGAAGAAGACAAGAGACCCCCACGCGCTTGGCATGCGAGAGGTGGCGGGATCGATTCCCGCATCTCCCAAGGTCAATATATTTTTTTTAAATCAAATTTTAAATGGGGGTTAAATTTGACCCAGCGTCTTCCGGAAGACTCTGACAGCACGCACCGCACGTACACACGTACACGTGTGTGTACGTGTGTACGTGTACGTGTGGTCATAATACAACAACAACAACCGCCATTCGCCACTAAGTGGCGGTGACGTCACCACGATGCTTGTGCCAGGCCAAGTGCACCTTGAGGCCACGTGAAGTGTCGAAAGCCCGCTGGCAGGAGGTCACGGGGCAGACCCAGGTGCCACGGGTCGACTGACCGAGATGACCGAGATGACTGGCTGATGCACCACCTGTGCCCCCTACTGTGCCAACTTGCTGTGCTTTAGCCACCCGGCGCTCCGCTCGTTGTTGTGAGCGTCGCTCCTCCGCCCTCCGTTGTAATAATACACACACGTACACACACACACATGTGTTCTTTCGGTAAAGTCACGTAGAATGGAAATAATAAAATAATCAAAATAAAACAAAATTATTCTTTTATTATACAAAAAATAATGATTTTATTATGTTTTATTTTTATTATTAAAATAATAAAAATTTAATAAAAATAAAGCATAATAAAATAATAATAAAGTAAGTATTTTATTATACGTTTGAAATTTTTTATTTTATTTTTTTCTACGTGACTTTACCGAACGAACCAAGAAGATGACACACGCAGCTTGCACGCTACCAACGACACTAGGACCCTCTCGATGCTACAGAGACATCAGCGCACCTGGTCGCGTGCTCACGCCACTTAATATGTTCAATTCTCCCATGTTTAGGTCGCCGGATCGATGCCCGCCTCCTCCACGGGGAATATTTTTTTAAATAAAATTTTAAATGTAACGTCCATCGTTATTGTTGGGGACATGTTCACATTGGTGAAACAGCTTTAGAAGACGATGACCTCTCGTCGCCCTCAATTTTGAATTAAGATTTGCAGTTTACTAAACCCGCATCTTAGTTGATGTAAAAGTGCGGCGCGAGTTGCTCGCTGCGCTGAAGACTCCCGCCTCTGGGCGGCAGGCGGCGCTCGTGAGAACGCGAGAGGCGCCAGCTGAGAGCTGCACCCCGAGGAAGCGTCTTGGCGGCTTGTTGTTGTTGTCGCACTGAAACACGTTCATTAGCTTCAGCGCAATCGCTTCTCTGCTCGTGAATGTAAAAACGGAGTTTCCTTTTTGAAAAATGTTGTTTGCGTGGAGGATGCGGGGATCGAACCCGCGACCTCCCGCGCGCTGAACGAGCAGCGCCCCCATCTCAGCTGCTGCCCCAGACACGAGGAGTGGAGCGAGATTTCGGTAAAATCACGTGGAAAGAAAATAGATTTGATGATAAAAAAAAAATATTAAACTCTTTAATTCCTGCAGTAATCAAGCTACCTGGGGTAGCTTTGTCTGTGTGTGGTGTGTAGTACATAGACACTGCTGCTGCTACTCGCCATGAACGGCACTTGCCCCTACAGCCTGCTAGAGGCTACCTGAGGGAGCTTTGTCTGTGCGTGGTGTGTGTAGTACATAGACCTCCTCCTCATGCACCTAGCCTGGCACAGCAGTACAACCCATGGCACCTGCAGGGTCTGTCCCGTGACCTCCTCCTCATGCACCTAGCCTGGCACAGCAGTACGACCCACGGCACCTGCAGGGTCTGTCCCGTGACCTGCTCCTCATGCACCTAGCCTGACGTCACTACTCCCGAGGCGAGTGTGACATGACGTCACTGCTCCCGAGGCGAGTGTGACATGACGTCATCACTCTACCCCTCAACACGTGTTAGCCACGTGCGCTGAACCTGCTTCGCAGCGTACAGGAGCCGAGGGCCAATGACGAGCACACACCCGTGTGTCTCTCTCTCTCTCCGTGTCTCTCTCCGTGTCTCCCCGTGTCTCTCTCCGTGTCTCTCTCCGTGTCTCTCTCCGTGTCTCTCTCCGTGTCTCTCTCCGTGTCTCTCTCCGTGTCTCTCTCTCTCCGTGTCTCTCTCCGTGTCTCTCCCCGTGTCTCTCTCCGTGTCTCTCTCCGTGTCTCTTCCACCACCACCAGCACCACCACAGGGTTCTCCTTGGGAGAGGACAGAGCGAGGTCGCGCTCTGGGTTCACGATGGCTGGCTGGAGGCAGCTTCAAGTCCAGCTGCTGCTGCTGATGCTGATGGACGTGAGCGGACGGCCTCACCCATCACGTACGAGCCTCTGTCTTGTTTTACAAACCACTCACTCTTGTTATTTTAGTTCACCAGGTAAGGCGCCCACTGAGATTTTGAGGGGGGTCGGGAGGAGTTGGTTGGGGGGGGGCCCTTTGTGCTGCACTGCCAAGGCATCGCATTCACACACAGATACAGTCTATAATGTAGACTGTCTACACACAGATAGTCTCTAATGTAGACTGTGCACACAGATACAGTCAATAATGTAGACTGTCCACACATATATACAGTCTATAATGTAGACTGCACACACATATACAGTCTATAATGTAGACTGCACACACATCGTGTGATGGCTGCGGTGCTATGAAAATGTCTCGATAATTTGCATCGCAAAGTCGAAGCACACCCGAGTTGCCGACGGGCGGTCAACGTTTGGCGAGATGGCATTTTGTAGGCAGCAATGGTTATCGATCTGTGTGTGTGTGTGGGGAGTGGTGGTGCAGTGGTTATCGATCTGTGTGTGTGGGGAGTGGTGGTGCAGTGGTTAGCGCGATCTGTGTGTGTGGGGAGTGGTGGTGCAGTGGTTAGCGCGATCTGTGTGTGAGTGTGGGGAGTGGTGGTGCAGTGGTTAGCGCGATCTGTGTGTGAGTGTGGGGAGTGGTGGTGCAGTGGTTAGCACACTGTGTGTGTGTGTGTGGGGGGGAGTGGTGGTGTAGTGGTTAGCGATCTGTGTGTGGGTGGTTGGGTGAGTAGGTGAGTGGGTGAGTGGGTGAGTAGGTGAGTGGGTGAGTGGGTGAGTAGGTGAGTGGGTGAGTGGGTGAGTAGGTGAGTAGGTGAGTGGGTGAGTGGGTGAGTGTCTCTCTCCCCGTGTGTCTCCCAAGCAGCTCCTCCCATCTCTGTGTGGATCACGGCAGAAATCGAGCGAAACCTTGTCGTTTTTATCTGCACGGTGTCGAGAAATCCGGAGGATGCCGAGATAGAGTTTAGCAACCCTCACGGGAAGACATACTACTTCCAGAACCACCGAGGTGAGCGGCAAGCACTGTCTCTGTCCCTCTGTCTCTCTCTCTGTCTCTGTCGCTGTGTCTCTCTCTCTCTCTTTGTCTCTCTATCCCGACGTCTCTCTCTCTCTGTCCCTCTGTCTTTCTGTCTGTGTTTGTCTCCCTCTCTCTCTCTATATCCCCATGTCTCTCTCTGTCTCCCCGTGTCTCCCCGTGTCCCCCCGTGTCCCAGCCTACGATGACCCGCGTGTCTACATTATAAGATGGAGCTACACCGCTGCGGACCTCCTCCTCTCCCAACCCACCCCGCGGGACCAGGGGCACTACAGCTGCTCCCTCTCCAGCCCAGACAGCCCCAGGGCCAGCGTCTGGCTCGCCGTCAGCGGTGAGAGACGCTCACCTCACCACCTCTCTACCTCAGACACACACACACAGACACACACACACAAAGACACACACACACACAGACACACACACAGACACAAAGACACACAAAGACACACACACAAAGACACACACACAAAGACACACACACACACAAAGACACACACACACACACAAAGACACACACACAAAGACACACACAACAACAACCGCCATTCGCCACTAAGTGGCGGTGACGTCACCACGACGTTTGTGCCAGGCCAAGTGCACCTTGAGGCCACGTGAAGAGTCAAACGCCCGCTGGCAGGAGGTCACGGGGCAGACCCAGCAGGTGCCACGGGTCGACTGACCGAGATGACCGAGATGACTGGCTGATGCACCACCTGTGCCCCCTACTGTACCAACTTGCCGTGCTTTAGCCACCCGGCGCTCCGCTCGTTGTTGTGAGCGTCGCTCCTCCGCCCTCCGTTGTTGTTGGAGGGCGACTGCCTCCAACTGCCCAGTAGCGTCCTTCACGAGCCTCCTCCACTGAGGCCGATCTTGACACCGCTGGTACCAGTCATCGGCAAGTCCACTCAGCTCCACGTCCTCCTGTACCACATCACTCCATCTCTTCTCTAGCCCGTGCCGCGCCCTTTTAGCCCCCTCGATCCGGCCGAACAAAAGCTGTTTAGGCATGCGGTAGCTGGGCATGCGGGCTACATGACCCAGCCAACGCAGCCTTGCCTGCCGGAGGAGCTCACCGATGGGACTTTGCCCAGATCTTTCAAGGATTTGTGAGCTCCTCACACAATCCAGCCTGGTTAAACCCAGGATGGATCATAGGCAGGCCAGCCTAAATGTTTCCAACCGGCGAAGATGCTCCATTAGGGGGGTCCACGTTTCACAAGCGTAGAGAAGGGAGGGAATTTAACACGTAGGCTTTCGCGACCAATGTTATTCATAATCAACGTTTTTGGGTTTAGATCGCGTTATTTATAAATGTGTCGTAACCCTCCACCACCCGACACGGCCAATCAGTAAAAATGTGTCACGTTGACAAAAGACAAATAGTTCACTGCTTTAGCCCACCGGTGTGTTGAAGCCACAACATTTACAATTTGAGTACGACGTTTCGCTGGTAATTGCATCCAGCATCATCGGGCAATAACGCGATCTAAACCCAAAAACGTTGATTATGAAGGGAGGGAATGACCGTGGCCGAGAAGACCTGAAGCTTCGTGCGGAGCGACAGACCAGGTAGCTTCCACACAGCGTTACGCAACCGATGAAAAGATATTGCCGCTCGACTGATTCGGAGTGAGACCTCTGCTGATAAACTGGAGCCGGTCATAAGCACACTGCCCAGGTATGGGAAACTCTCCACTCTCTCCACAACTGCCCCATCACCGATTGGGAGTTGTGGGGGTTGAGTGTCCGATGGTACAAAATACCCAGGCAGGTGCTTAGTTTTGGTGGGGCTGATGGTAAGGCCCCACCTCTTAGTGGCACGCTCCAGTCTCAGCAGCAGCGTCTCCAACTCCTCTTCTGAATGAGCAGCTATTACCAAATCATCGGCATACATAACGTGGTTGACCAATAGGGAGCCATCCCTTGATCGCACCCGGGCGTCGATCAGCCTCCCATTATATCTGTACCAAATGGAAATTCCCCCGGTACAGCTATTGAAGGCTTCACGAACTACGCAGTCGAAATAGATGTTAAATAATGTGGGAGCCAGAGGACATCCCTGTCGCACCCCAAGGTGTACAGGGAAAGGCTCCGACTCCCGGCCACGTAGTTTTACCCGGGCCCGCTCACCATCATGAAGGTCCTTAATGATCGTGAGCAGAGGGTCAGGGACTCCGAAAGCATGAAGAACAACCCAGAGCCCAGGCCTACTGATGGTATCATAGGCCTTGACCAGGTCAATAAAGCAGAGATGTAGGTCTTGTTGGAATTCCCTACACCTCTGCTGTAGCAGACGGACAGAAAATATGGCATCTGTACAGGACCGCCCTTTCCTGGAACCACATTGGGGTTCCGCAAGCCTCTACTCAGTGTGCCTAGCAAGGCGATGTTGAATAATCCTTGCCAGGACCTTTCCCGGCACACTGAGGAGTGAGATGCCCCTGTAGTTGTTACAGTCTGTGCGGTCCCCCTTCTTAAAGAGGGGGACCACCAGGGCATCCTTCCAATCCTGCGGTACCCGTCCAGCGGTTCAGACTGTTGTTATGATGTCATATAGGGCAGTCTGTGCACAAGCGCCACCCTCCCTCAGCATTTCGCTTGGGAGATCATCTCTGCCCGGTGCCTTTCCTGGTCTCAGACTCCGGATCGCCTTCAGTACTTCCTCAACAGATGGCACCTCAGCCAGCCACTCACAGGGTGTTACTTCTTCCAATATTTGAGGCACCGAAGCCTCAGCAGGGTTATTCCCACTTTGTGCCATGATGTTTTCCTGGCTGAGAGATTTTCCCTCCCCCAGGACCTCACAGAAATGCTCAGCAAATCTGCAAACCTGTTCCTGGGGGTCGGAGATTGGATCACCGTTTTTTCCCCTAATGATGGTAATAGGTGTGGCGCTGCAGGTTACTTTTTTGATGGAGTTAAATAGTGATTTGTGATCGCGGGCCACTGAGGCAGATTCCATCTCCTCAGCAACCCGCGACCACCACCCATCCTTGCAGCGCCTCACGGCTCTCCGAACCTCCGAGCGAAGGCTGCGGTACACCTCCTCATTCTCTGACGTGGGATGCTGTAGCCGATGAGAGTGGGCCTGTCGCTTTTTCTCAACTATCCTGAACATCTCCTCTGTCAGCCAGGGTTTCTGGGGAGGTCTGGACCACGTACCCAAAGCAGCCATTGCAGCTGCATGAGTCACAGTCTTAAATCTCGCCCATTTATCCTCGACATCAGGTGGAGTGGGGGACGATGCCAACCCCAGCTGCAAGCGATGATGAAATTCTCGCTTGCAACTTTCATCAGCTGAGACCAGGCCACTTTTGGTTGGAATGGGATCCTGGGTGTACACCCACCACCGGAGTGGAAGAATGGCAGGCGCATCTTACAGATGACTAGTCGATGGTCAGAGGGCAGATCAGCTCCACGGTAGGTCCTGGTGTCAAGGACATGGGCTCGCATCCGCTGGTCCGTCACTATGTAGTCCAGCAGATGTTCTTGCTTGGATCCGGCATGGCGTCTGTGACCACCATGGTGTCTGTGACCACCACAGTGGCTAAACAGGGGCTCTGGACGGGTGCGAAGGGCTGGTAACCCCTCCACCTTCAATGAATTACCACGAAACCACGAATTAAACATAAACAAGACACACACACAAAGACACACAAAAACACACACACACAAAGACACACACACAAAGACACACACACACACAAAGACACACACACAGAGACACACAGAGACACACACACAGATGGACACAGACACACATTTTAAAAGACACACAGACACACACAAAGACACGCTGGGACACACAGACAACAACCGCCATTCGCCACTAATTTCCCGTCTCTTCCTGCTCTCGCAGCCAAAACCACCACCACCGCTGCCACAACCACCACCACCCCCTACACCACCACCACCACCCCCCCCACCACCACCCCCACCACCACCACCCCCCCCACCACCACCCCCCCCACCACCACCCTGCCCACCTCCCTGCCCACCTCCCCACGCCCGCCCGCGGTGTCTGCGGGCGGCAAGGCGACGCTCTCCGCCAGCGGCGTGAGCTCCTCCACCTCCTGCCGCCTGCGCTCGCTGGCGCCCTTCCTCCTCCTGGCGAACGCCGCCGCCAGCGCTCCGTGCGCCCCACGCGGCGGGGAAGATGGAGCGGCACGAAGAGGTGGAGGAGGTGAGGAGGAGGTGTTAGTGGAGGAGGTGGAGGAGGAGGTGGAGGAGGTGGAGTAGGTGGAGGAGGTGGAGGAGGAGGTGGAGGAGGTGAGGAGGAGGTGTAAGTGGAGGTGGAGGAGGAGGAGGTGGAGGAGGAGGAGGTGGAGGAGGTGAGGAGGAGGTGGAGGAGGAGGTGGAGGAGGTGGAGGAGAAGGGGGAGGAGGTAGAGGAGGTGGTGTAAGGGGTGTAATCGGAGGAGGTGGAGGATGAGGAGTTAAGAGGTGCATGTCTAATCGAGTGTTGACGTTATTTCACCAATATCTTTAAGGACGCTATTGCTGATAACAATTCGTCTACAAGTGCCAGGTGACGTGTCCTCCTCTGTCAACCAACACGATTGCAACTTGTATCGCACGTGGGTGCACGCACTTGCATCGTCGTCGTCATCATCAGGACCGTCTGCTGTCGGCGGCACTGCTTGGTAAGGACAGTCGCTAGCGCCGTGTGACTAGCGGCACCCCGGGATGGTGAAGACGCAGACGACGACGATGACGGACTTGAGCAGCCACGACGGAGGGCCCCCCTCTCATGGTGTGGTTCCCGGGGACTTCCCCTGCTGTGAACTTCCCCCTTTAGAGGTCCCCCGGTCGTCTACACCGTGGCCTGCTGACGCGAGGACTCACGCACAGCGCAGTTACCCTTCTCCGCCAGCAGCCGGCGCTATGCCCCTACAATAGCATCAACAGTAACAACAATAACATCAACAGTAACAACAATAGCATCAACAATAGCATCAACAGTAACAACAATAACATCAACAGTAACAACAATAGCATCAACAATAACAACAATAACATCAACAGTAACAACAATAGCATCAACAATAGCATCATTAATAGCATCAACAGTAACAACAATAACATCAACAGTAACAACAATAGCATCAACAATAACAACAATAACATCAACAGTAACAACAATAGCATCAACAATAGCATCAACAATAACATCAACAATAACATCAACAATAACATCAACAACATCAACAATAACATCAACAATAGCATCAACAACATCAACAATAGCGTCAACAACATCAACAATAACATCAACAACATCAACAATAACATCAACAATAGCATCAACAATAACATCAACAATAGCATCAACAATAACATCAACAATAGCATCAACAATAACATCAACAACATCAACAATAACATCAACAATAGCATCAACAATAACATCAACAGTAACCTTAAATTTGGAGCTTTCGTGACTGCAGGAATTACTCTTTGGTTATTTCGGTAAAGTCACATATAAAGATAAAATAATAAATTAAATAATAGCATACGACGTTTCGATTGCAACACAAGCAATCATCATCAGGTATAAATGAAATAGCAACAGAAAATCTAACCAGAAAACTATAGACAGACACACAAGCAGACAGACATCACCAAGATACACAGAGAGAGCAACACAGGCACAGAGAGGGGGATCGTCTCCGTGGGGTGGCTACCCCACGGAGACGATCCCACACAGACACCCACAGAGACATAGACACCCACAGAGACCCGTAGACACCAGCAGACACGCACAGACACACACAGACACATAGACACCCACAGAGACACATAGACACCCACAGAGACCCGTAGACACCAGCAGACACGCACAGACACACACAGACACATAGACACCCACAGAGACACATAGACACCCACAGAGACCCGTAGACACCAGCAGACACGCACAGACACACACAGACACATAGACACCCACAGAGACACATAGACACCCACAGAGACCCGTAGACACCAGCAGACACGCACAGACACACACAGACACATAGACACCCACAGACATAGACACCCACAGAGACCCGTAGACACCAGCAGACACGCACAGACACACACAGAGACATAGACACCCACAGAGACCCGTAGACACCAGCAGACATGCACAGACACACACAGACACATAGACACCCACAGAGACATAGACACCCACAGAGACCCGTAGACACCAGCAGACACGCACAGACACACACAGACACATAGAGACCCACAGAGACACATAGACACCCACAGAGACCCGTAGACACCAGCAGACACGCACAGAGACCCATAGAGACACCCATAGATTATGGGTGTCTCTGTGGGCCTCTGTGCGTGTATATGGGTTTATGTGAGTCTCTGTGCGTGTCTATTGGTCTCTATAGATCTTTGTGGGTCTCTGTGGGTGTCTATGGGTCTCTTTGGGTCTCTGTGGGTGTCTATGGGTGTCTGTGGGTGTCTCTTTGATGACGATCAAGATGTCCCCCTCCTCAGTGGAGCTGATGTCATTTTTTTTATCACTTCTGACAAAGAGCGTCAGAGTGGGGCTTGGTCAATACGAAAACAAAGTTTGAGTTTTAGTTTTTATATTTAGCTTAGTTTACTCTCTCTCCCATATCTCTCTCTTCCTGTGTCTCTCTCTCCCATGTCTCTCTCCCCGTGTCTCTCTCCCCGTGTCGCTCTCCCCGTGTCTCTCTCTCCCCGTGTCTCTCCCATGCAGCTGCTCCACTCTCTGTGTGGGCCACGGGAGACACGGTGTCCAAGGGAGACACGGCCACGCTACGCTGCACCGTGTCAGACAATCCGGACTCAGACTCAATTCAGTGGAGCAACCCTCAAGGTCACACACTCTACTTCGAGAGCGTCAAGGGTGAGCGACAAGCGCTGTCTCTGTCTCTCTCTGTCTCTCTCTGTCTCTCTCTGTCTCTGTCTCTCTCTGTCTTTCTCTGTCTCTGTTTCTCTCTGTCTCTCTCTCTGTCTCTCTCTGTCTCTGTCTCTCTCTGTCTCTCTCTGTCTCTGTCTGTCTCTCTCTGTCTCTCTCTGTCTCTCTCTGTCTCTCTCTCTGTGTCTCCCTGTCTCCCCGTGTCTCAGCCCACATGGACCCACGTGTCTCTCTGTCTGTCTCTGTCTCTCTGCGTCTCTCTCTGTCTCTGTGTCTCTCTCTGTGTCTCTCTGTCTCTGTGTCTCCGTGTCTTAGCCCACACAGACCCGCGTGTCTCTCTGCTGCACTGGAGCTCCACCAGGATGGACATCACCATCTCGCGCGTCACCTCGCGGGACCAGGGGCTCTACAGCTGCTCCCTCTTCAGCCTGGGGACCCCCACGGCGTACGCGTCACTCACCGTCAGAGGTGAGCGATGCTCACCTCGCCACTCTTGTGTCTGTGTCGTTTTCGACAATGTACACTAAGAATGTCTCTCATCATTTTTTTGAATAAGTTTGATCCGGATGCAGCGCGGGGGCTTGGAGGGGGGTCACCCCTCACACCCCGCTGAACCCTTGCCTCACCACACACCGAGTCTCCCCGTGTCTCTCTCTCTCTGACCGTGTCTATCTCACCGTGTCTCTGTATTTCACCATGTCTCCCCGTGTCTCACCGTGTCTCCCCGTGTCTCTCTCACCGTGTTTCCCCGTGTCTCTCTCACCGTGTCTCTCACCGTGTCTCTGTATTTCACCATGTCTCCCCGTGTCTCACCATGTCTCCCCGTGTCTCCCCGTGTCTCTCTCTCTCACCGGGTCTCTCTCTCTCACCGGGTCTCCCCGTGACTCTCTATCTCACCACATCTCCCCGTATCTCCTCGTGTCTCTGTATCTCACCATGTCTCCCCGTGTCTCACCGTGTCTGTTTATCTCACCCCGTGTCTCCCCGTGTCTCCCCGTGTCTCTCTCTCTCCCCGTGTCTCTCTCCCCGTGTGTCTCTCTCCCCGTGTCTCTCTCCCCGTGTGTCTCTCTCCCCGTGTCTCTCTCCCCGTGTGTCTCTCTCCCCGTGTGTCTCTCTCCCCCGTGTCTCTCTCCCGTGTGTCTCTCTCCCCGTGTGTCTCTCTCCCCGTGTGTCTCTCTCCCCGTGTGTCTCTCTCCCTGTGTCTCTCCTCCGTGTTCTCTCTCCCCGTGTCTCTCTCCCCGTGTGTCTCTCTCCCCATGTCTCTCTCTCTCCCTGTGTCTCTCTCCCCGTGTGTCTCTCTCCCCGTGTCTCTCTCCCCGTGTGTCTCTCTCCCCGTGTCTCTCTCCCCGTGTCTCTCTCCCCGTGTCTCTCTCCCGTGTGTCTCTCTCCCTGTGTCTCTCTCCCCGTGTCTCTCTCCCCATGTGTCTCTCTCCCCATGTCTCTCTCCCCGTGTCTCTCTCTCCCCGTGTCTCTCTCCCCGTGTGTCTCTCTCCCTGTGTCTCTCTCCCCGTGTCTCTCTCCCCGTGTCTCTCTCTCCCCGTGTCTCTCTCCCCGTGTCTCTCTCCCCGTGTCTCTCTCCCCGTGTCTCTCTCCCCGTGTCTCTCTCTCCCCGTGTCTCTCTCCCCGTGTCTCTCTCTCCCCGTGTCTCTCTCCCCGTGTCTCTCTCCCCGTGTGTCTCTCTCCCTGTGTCTCTCTCCCCGTGTCTCTCTCTCCCCGTGTCTCTCTCCCCGTGTGTCTCTCTCCCCGTGTCTCTCTCCCCATGTCTCTCCCCGTGTCTTTCTCCCCGTGTCTCTCTCCCTGTGTGTCTCTCTCTCCCCGTGTCTCTCTCCCCGTGTCTCTCTCCCCGTGTCTCTCTCCCCGTGTGTCTCTCTCCCTGTGTCTCTCTCCCCGTGTCTCTCTCCCCATGTGTCTCTCTCCCCATGTCTCTCTCCCCGTGTCTCTCTCTCCCCGTGTCTCTCTCCCTGTGTGTCTCTCTCCCTGTGTCTCTCTCCCCGTGTCTCTCTCCCGTGTCTCTCTCTCCCCGTGTCTCTCTCCCCGTGTCTCTCTCTCCCCGTGTCTCTCTCCCCGTGTGTCTCTCTCCCTGTGTCTCTCTCCCCGTGTCTCTCTCTCCCCGTGTCTCTCTCCCCGTGTGTCCCTCTCCCCGTGTCTCTCTCCCCGTGTCTCTCTCCCCATGTCTCTCCCCGTGTCTTTCTCCCCGTGTCTCTCTCCCTGTGTGTCTCTCTCTCCCTGTGTCTCTCCCCGTGTGTCTCTCTCCCCGTGTCTCTCCCCCCGTGTGTCTCTCTCCCCGTGTCTCTCTCCCCATGTGTCTCTCTCCCCGTGTCTCTCTCCCCGTGTCTCTCTCCCCGTGTCTCTCTCCCCGTGTCTCTCTTTTCCCGTGTCTCTCCCGTGCAGCTGCTCCGCTCTCTGTGTGGGCCACGGGAGACACGGTGTCCGAGGGAGACACGGCCACGCTACGCTGCACGGTGTCAGACAATCCGGACTCAGACCCAATCCAGTGGAGCAACCCTCACGGTCACACACTCTACTTCGAGAGCGTCAAGGGTGAGAGCAAACACCATCTCTGTCTATCTCTGTCTCTCTCTCTCTGTCTCTCTCTCTGTGTCTCCCTGTCTCCCCGTGTCTCAGCCCACATGGACCCGCGTGTCTCTCTGTCTGTCTGTGTCTCTCTGTGTCTCTCTCTCTGTGTCTCTCTGTCTGTGTCTCTCTGTGTCTCTCTCTCTGTGTCTCTCTTTCTCTGTGTCTCTCTGTCTCTGTGTCTCTCTCTGTGTCTCTCTCTCTCTCTGTGTCTCTCTGTCTCTGTGTCTCTCTCTGTGTCTCTCTGTCTCTGTGTCTCTCTGTCTCTGTGTCTCCGTGTCTCAGCCCTCATGGACCCGCGTGTCTCTCTGCTGCACTGGAGCTCCACCCGGCTGGACGTCACCATCTCGCGCGTCTCCACGCGGGACCAGGGGCTCTACAGCTGCTCCCTCTTCAGCCTGGGGACCCCCACTGCGTACGCGTCGCTCACCGTCAGAGGTGAGCGACGCTCACCTCGCCACTCTTGTATCCGTGTCGTTTTCGACAATGTACACTAAGAATGACTCTGATAATTTTTTTTGAATAAGTTTGATCCGGATGCAGCGCGGGGGCTTGGACGGGGGTCACCCCTCACACCCCGCTGAACCCTTGCCTCACCACACACCGAGTCTCCCCGTGTCTCTCTCTCTCTCACCGTGTCTCTGTATTTCACCATGTCTCCCCGTGTCTCACCGTGTCTCCCCGTGTCTCTCTCTCTCACCGTGTCTCCCCGTTGCTCCCCATGTCTCCCCGTGTCTCTCTGTCTCACCGTGTCTCCCCGTGTCTCCCCGTGTCTCTCTCACCGTGTCTCTGTATCTCACCATGTCTCACCGTGTCTCTCTCTCTCACCGTGTCTCCCCGTGTCTCCCCGTGTCTCCCCGTGTCTCTCTGTCTCACCGTGTCTCCCCGTGTCTCCCCGTGTCTCTCTCACCGTGTCTCTGTATCTCACCATGTCTCACCATGTCTCACCGTGTCTCACCATGTCTCTACGTCTTCCCATGTCTCACCGTGTCTGTTTATCTCACCCCGTGTCTAACCGTGTCTCCCCGTGTCTCTCTCTCACCATCTCTAACCGTGTCTCCCTGTGTCTGTGTAGACAGCACCACCACCATCACCGTTTCCAAACCACCATCACCGCCGCTGCCGCTGATGATGATGATGGTGTGTGGGATGACTCTGTGCTGGATGGTGGTGCTGGTGTGGGTACTGGGTCTCTGCTGGTTGTTGCCATAGTCCCACCTCTCATCTTCTCCCTCGTCTGCCTCCTCATTGTCCTGGCGAGATCATTCAAAGGGAGACGCAGGAGTGGGACACACGGAGACACACGTGGACTCACAGACACGCAGAGACACACAGAGATTCACGGAGACACACGGAGACACACAGAGATTCACGGAGACACACGGAGACTCACGGAAACACACGGAGACACGCAGAGACACACAGAGATTCACGGAGACACACGGAGACACACAGTAACTCACGGAGACACACATAGACACACAGAGATTCACGGAGACACACGGAGACTCACGGAAACACACAAGAGACACAGACACAGAGACAACAACAACCGCCATTCGCCACTAGGTGGCGGTGACATCACCACGGCGCTTGTGCCAGGCCATGTGCAGGTTGAGGCCACGTGAAGTGTCGAACGCCCGCTGGCAGGAGGTCACGGGGCAGACCCAGGTGCCACGGGTCGACTGACCGAGATGACTGGCTGATACACCATCTGTGCCCCCACTGTGCCAACTTGCTGTGCTTTAGCCACCCGGCGCTCCGCTCGTTGTTGTGAGCGTCGCTCCTCCGCCCTCCGTTGTTGTTGGAGGGCGACTGCCTCCAACACGGAGACACACACAGAGACACACACAGAGACACACACAGAGACACACACGGAGACACACACACGGAGACACACACACGGAGACACACACAGAGACACACACGGAGACACACACGGAGACACACACACTGAGACACGTGGAGACACACGGAGACACATGGAGACACACACACAGAGACTCATGGAGACACACGGAGACACACGGAGACACACACAGAGACACACACAGAGACACACACGGAGACACACACACTGAGACACGTGGAGACACACGGAGACACATGGAGACACACACACAGAGACTCATGGAGACACATGGAGACACACGGAGACACACACAGAGACACACACGGAGACACACACACTGAGACACGTGGAGACACACGGAGACACGTGGAGACACACGGAGACACATGGAGACACACACACAGAGACTCATGGAGACACACAGAGACACACGGAGACACACACAGAGACACACACAGAGACACACACATAGAGACATACACACAGAGACACAGAGACTCACGAAGACACACAGAGACACAGAAATACAGAGACACAGAGACACACACACAGAGACACACGAAGACACACACACAGAAATACGGAGACACACATAGATACACAGAGACACACAGACACAGACACTTACAGAGACTCACAGACACTCACGGAGACACACGGAGACACATGGAGATAGACAGAGACACCAAGAGACACACATAGACACACGGAGACACGGTGAGACGTAGACATTCAGGTAAGAGACGCTGGGAGTTGGTGAGTGCCAACTGCCTGGAATCTACACACTGCCTTGCTCTGTGCTGTGTTGGTAATTGTAGTGTCTCTCTCTGTCTCTCTGTCTCTGTGCCTCCCTTCCTCTCTCTCCCCGTGTAGGCATCTATGTAATTACTGAGAGAAGGAGCGGAGAGAGTATCCCGGATTTGAAGAATGTTACCGAAGAGAAATACACGGGGAGACAGACACAGAATTAGAGACACGGGGAGAGAGACATGGGGAGATAGAGACACGGGGAGAGAGACACACGGGGAGAGAGACACGGGGAGAGAGACACACGGGGAGAGAGACACGGGGAGTGTGGCCATGATGCCAGACAAATAAAACATCAGCAGCGCGTTCTCAGTGTTTTTTTGGTACAGTGTATCGTGTAATGTGTACACTTTACACTACTCTATACACTACACTATACACTACACTATACACTACTCTATACACTACACAGATAAACACAGACAGACACACACAGACACACAGACACAGACAGACACACACACAGACATAGACACACACAGACAGACACAGACATAGACACACACAGACAGACACAGACAGACACAACAACAACAACCGCCATTCGTCACTAAGTGGTGGTGACGTCACCACGACGCTTGTGCCAGGCCAAGTGCACCTTGAGGCCACGTGAAGTGTCGAACGCCCACTGGCAAGAGGTCACGGGGCAGACCCTGCAGGTGCCACGGGTCGACTGACCGAGATGACCGAGATGACTGGCTGATGCACCACCTGTGCCCCCTACTGTACCAACTTGCTGTGCTTTATCCACCCGGCGCTCCGCTCGTTGTTGTGAGCGTCGCTCCTCCGCCCTCCGTTGTTGTTGGAGGGCGACTGCCTCCAACTGCCCAGTAGCGTCCTTCACGAGCCTCCTCCACAGAGGCCGATCTTGACACGCATACACATACGTGCGTGCACACACGCACACACGCACGCCCATACACACGCACGCACAAATCGACACAAAGATCCCCCGTGTAGCCTTAACAGGCTGTCGTGGCACGTTCCGTTAGCGAGCACCTACGAAGGCCGGCACTGCACACCGAGTGATGGTTACACACCACACCAGGTACTCGTTTAAGGTTGAGTCGACCTAGGGGAGGCTCAGAACCGGTTCAAACAATCGTCACCGGTGTTGGCCGTGAGCAGGAAGCAGACTCGAGTTTGCCGGGTTTGTAGCGCAGGCCGCGAACCACGACAGACAACGACACACGCAGAACCACGAGCAATCACACCTCTGCAGACTGGCGTGGCTCAGCTGCTGTTGTCCCCCCAGTAGTGGCGGTATTTATACACCGCACTGGGGACTCGTTTAAAGGCTGAGTCAACCTAGGCGAGGTCCAGGACCAATGCTGATGTCACTCGCCACTGATGTGAGCCGTGGTCGGGAAATATTACAGCGCTCACCACTAAAATACCGCTCCACACGCACATGGACACAGAAACAATTGACACACAGATACATACAAAGATCCCCCGTGTAGCCTGTAACAGACTGTAGGGGCAAGTGCTGTTAGCGAGCACCTATGAAGGCCGGCACGGCACACGAGGGGGTGGGTGGCCAGCACCACGCCCGACCGCCTTTGTCTCCCCAGTGGCGATGTTTACTACACACCGCACCAGGTACTCATTTGAGGCTGAGTCGACCTAGGGGATGCCCAGAACCGGTTCAGATAATCGTCACCACCGCTCCCCACACACACACAGACACACGTGCTTACGCACACCAAAAACATACATACACAACAACTTACATTTGCCAGTGAGTCGCGGTGATGTCACCACTGCACTTGTGCCAGGCTAGGTTCACTTTTAAGCCATGTGAAGTGTCGAAGGCAGGATAACATTTTACCGGCCTTGCTATCTTTCCGTGCTTTAGCCGCCCGGGGCTCTGCCCATTGTTGTGAGCGTCGCTCTTCCACTCGCTGTTGTTACCAGAGGGCGGCTGCCTCCTGCTGCCCAGTGAAGGCTTTCATGTACCTCCTCCACGAAGGCCAATCTTGACACCACTGGTACCAATCGTCTAAAAGTTGATTCAATTCCAGATCCTGTATCACGTCAACTCATCTCTTCTCTAAGCTGTGCCATGCTCATTCAGCTCCCTTTATCCAGCCAAACAGAAGCTGCTAAGGCAAGTGGTGGCTGGGCATGCGCACTACATCACCCAGCCAAATGTATTCTCCACTGCCAGAGGAGCTCACCAGTGAGGATAAACCCAGGATGAATCATAGGCAGACTATCCTGAATATTTCAAGCCAGCAAAACGTTCCTGTTAAGGGTTCCCAGGTTTCACAAGTGTACAGTGAGGAAATAGTTGTTGCCGAGAAGAACTGGAGCCTTCTTTTTTGTGGCACGGCAGACCAGGCAGCTTCTTCGCAGCATTATGCGGCTGACGAAAAGTGAAAACTGTTCGACTGACTTGGCGTGGGACCTCTCTGCTGTCAAATTGGAATAGGTCATACGCACACAGCCACATGGTCTCCTGTACACTCTCTGCAACTGCTCCATTACTCACACACTTGTTGCAATCGGTGCATTGCTCCTTTTATAAAGGGTGGGGCACCAGGGCATCCTTCCAATCCTCAAGAACCTGACCAGCGGTGGAAGTTGTAAGGCAGCTTGAACATCATCGCCTTCATACCTCACGAATGTACTCGGGACATCATCTCTGCTCGGTGCATTACCTCCGTGGACTTTTAGGACTGTGCATTTTAGCCAGCACCTCATGAAGCTGACACAGTGGACGAGGACCCGGTCTGGCCAGCACCACACCGTCTCTTCCTGTGGATCCCCACGATGGAGGTTTACCCCACCACCGCATCAGGCAGTTATTTAAGACTGAGTCGCCCTAGGGGAGGCTCCGGACCGGATCAGATGTCACTCGCCCCGAGTGCGAGATGCAGCAGAGAATTCAACTGGGGGGGTCAGAGGGTTCATAGCACAACACACGAACAGACAAAGACACCGCAGTAAAACAACTGTGCAGTTTCAGTTTGGAACATTGCATGAATGTGCCAAAATGTTTGCATGGATGCCTTTTAACATCCTCTTTGTAACATCTAACCTATATAATTCATTTTTTGTCCGTCCGTCCGTCCGCGTACGCTCCCTACCGGGGGATTTAGCTCTCGGACCGTGGGGTTCGGCGAGATTAAATTTTGCAGGTGGGCACGCCCCCGGCCCCGCGGTAAACTTAGGCATTTCCGATTTTTCGTCTCTAAACTTTAAATCGGACCGATTATCGATTTAGTGCGATTTATCTTTATTTATTTATTTAACGCTTTGTTTATTTACTCTTGCCGGCCGGCGCGGACCACGGCGGTTGCCCCTGGCAACGGGTAGAGACGCGTTCGCTGCGGGGTGGACACCATTTTGAATTACCGTTAAAAATATGCGCATGCATTAACACGCGATTCTGAGGTAAATTCATCAAAGTTTCACGTCCTATTCACTCCCCCCCCCCATCCCAATGTGTGCAATTACTATTATAGGGTCGGTAGATAATAAAATTATAGCGATTAGACAGTATTATTGTAGCGCGTGGGGGGGGGGGTATTGGCCCCAGTACACACCCTCAGCCGGGTAGGCAATCTAGGCAAGGCCGGAGGCTCTGCACGGTACTAGGCCTCGACACCCCACCCGTGTCAAGCGACGACTTTGTGGTATAAACTCGATATACCCAGCGTTGCCCGGGGGAAAAATACATTTAAAATCTTCTGAAAACTTTAAAACATTACATAACAATGAAAATACAACTGTGTAATTAAAACTCTAAACCCGACCGCGCCAAGAATCGATTCTCTGAATCGCGAAAAGGAATCGAAGGTTGTAGATTCATTTAGAATCACCTTATTTCCGTTTAATATTAGTTGGTTATAGAGTTGATATAAACTGCTACGAATGGGAAATATCCGGCGTTGACCGGGGCTAAAATATAATTAAAAACTCCTGAAAACTTTAAAACATAACATAACAATGAAAATAAAACTCTGTAATTAAAAATGGAAACCTCCTATGCGCCAGAAATCGATTCTTTGAATCGCGCAAAGGAATCATCGAAGGTTGTAGATTCCTTTAGGAGGGGGAGAGTGGTGAGGGGGAGAGTGGTGAGGGGGAGAGTGGTGGTGGTGTGGGTGAGTGGTGAGGGTGAGGTTGAGTGGTGAGGGTGAGTGGTGATTGGTGAGGGTGAGTGGGGAGGGTGAGTGGCGGTTGTTAGTGGTGATTAGTGAAGGGTGAGTGGTGAGGGTTAGTGGTGAGCATGAGTGGTGAGGGTGAGTGTTGAGCGTGAGTGGTGAGGGTGAGTGGTGATTGTTGAGGGTGTGATTGGTGAGGATGAGTGGTGAGTAGTGAGGGTGAGTGGTCAGGGTGAGTGGTGAGGGTGAGTGGCGGTTGTGAATGGTGATTAGTGAGGGGTGAGTGGTGAGGGTGAGCGTGAGTGGTTAGGGTGAGTGGTGAGGGTGAGCAGTGAGAGTGAGCAGTGAGGGTGAGTGGTGATTGGTGAGGGTGTGATTGGTGAGGATGAGTGGTGAGTGGTCAGGGTGAGTGGTGAGGGTGAGTGGTGAGCGGTGAGGGTGAGTGGTGAGTGGTTAGGGTGAGTAGTGAGGGTGAGTTGTGAGCGTGAGTGGTGAGTAGTGAGGGTGAGTGGTGAGGGTGAGTGGTGAGCGTGAGTGGTGAGTGGTTAGGGTGAGTAGTGAGGGTGAGTGGTGAGCGTGACTGGTGAGGGAGAGTGGTGAGGGAGAGTGGTGAGGGAGAGTGGTGAGGGTGAGTAGTGAGTGGTGAGGGTGAGTGGTGATTGGTGAGGGTGAGTGGTGAGGGTGAGTGGGGAGGGTGAGTGGCGGTTGTTAATGGTGATTAGTGAGGGATGAATGGTGAGGGTGAGCGTGAGTGGTGAGGTTGAGTGGTGAGCAGTGAGGGTGAGTGGTGATTGGTGAGGGTGTGATTGGTGAGGATGAGTGGTGAGGGTGAGTAGTGAGGGTGAGTGGTTGTTGTGAGGGTGAGTGGTTGTTGTGAGGGTGCGTGGTGAGGGTGAGTGGTAAGATTGAGTGGTGAGGGTGAGTGACGGTTGTGAGAGGTGATTAGTGAGTGGTGAGGGTGAGTGGTGAGGGTTAGTGGTGAGGGTGAGTGGCGGTTGTGAGTGGTGATTAGTGAGGGGTGAGTGGTGAGGGTGAGCGTGAGTGGTGAGGGTGAGGGTGAGCGGTGAGGGTGAGCAGTGAGGGTGAGTGGTGATTGGTGAGGATGTGATTGGTGAGGATGAGTGGTGAGTGGTCAGGGTGAGTGGTGATTGGTGAGGGTGAGTGCTGAGCGGTGAGGGTGAGTGGTTGTTGT